AGATTTAGCAAACTCGAAATGTCTATTTTGTAAACGTCGGTTACCCAGACCTTTCTATAATTCACTACTATCTATGTAGCTTTAGTTTTCATCCTAAGTTTCATATAGATTTCCTCCTATCCTGGTGCATGATGCGTCCACCGGCACTAAAATGGAATTCAATCCAGAATACATCTCCTTTGTTGGTTACAGCCAATCCCAACATAGGAGCTATATATTCAATTTCCTATGTTCCGCAATTGATTCTTAAGGCCCAACTTATACTCTGATACCATCTTTGTCACGACCCATTTCCGCGGGTCGGACCGGCATTAGGACCTAGGTGGGCTTAAGGCCTCTGAGGCTCGTAGTAAGCCTATATTAATTCATCCATATTCTAAATATAATTGTGGCTTTGGGCCCAACAACTTTGTTCCATAAACTTATCAAAAGTGCATTTTATATAATTAACATATATACTTTATTTGTCCATTCACAACCCATTTGGAATATAATTGCGGAACTCGATAATTTACAGTCTTTTGCATTTACATCGTTATTACAATCATTAATAGTCTTCCATAAATATTATTTCAACTCAGCTGAATTCCATAGGACTTTTCTTTCATCTTATTATCTGAAAAAAATAGTAGGCATGGGTGAGCGCCAAACTCAATGAGTAGGGTTAGATAACCCTCTCACCCCACACATTCACACATATGCTACAATAAATCGTTTTAGTCCTCCAACTAGTTATATGATCATGTCCTCCAAGCTAGTTATATGATCATTAGTTTGTCCACACAAATGGCACATACAGCAGCAACCACAAATATTATCATCTTCATATAAGCACATCACGTGGATAAATTAGTCAGTGGTATCACCGAAAACCCCCAAATGAAGCTGTCCTCCCAGATGGCCCATCCTCATCTTAACGTGTGGCACCAGGAGCCCGATCCCCATACTTGGCCGACCAAGTCTAATCCTCACTTGACAATCGCCCTTCAATTTTTTTGCCAGCCTCTCTTCTTTCCATACCAACAAAGAGGCCACGCCTGTGGTTTTAATCCAATTAATTCCAATGCATATCATCAGGTGGCACACGGGGGCGCGATTCTCACCATACGGCAATGGGTCTCCGTAGACAGCCCTCCGACAAGCCCATGGTGGACCTACTGTCATTCCCAATTCCACACAAACAGGCACAAGCAATATCAACAACATAAGATATCAATGAATAAGGATCTGGACCCCCTAACTTCGCCCGCATAAAGCTAGCTCGTGAGGGGAAGACTAACCCCAGCCTTATACATCTAGCCCAGGAATGTACTCCGCGGGCGATGTGGATGCATCATCCCACCTCCCATAAGAACCCAACTGCCTCCAGCCGGCGTCTGACGAACCCATGAGACGCCGACCCTAAACGAAGCCAGAGGCTCTGATACAAATGCAATAAGGATCTGGACTCCTAAACTTCGCCCCAAAAGCTAGCTCGTAGGGAGGACATGAACCCAGCCTTATACACTTAGCCCAGGATGTACTCCGCGGGCGAGGGGATGCATCAATACAACCAAATTTTAAATTGCAACAATAGTGTAGCAAAATATAGCAATTTAACAAATGCATGATAACATTTAAGCCAGTGATGCATGAATGCCAAAGGATGCAGGCAGTAATGAATCGTGAATGCATGAATGCAAAGATGCAGGCAGATGATGCGAATTATCTAACACTACTCACAGTTCTTTATTGTCCTTTAAAAGGACTGTCTTTATTACTGCATCCTTCCAGCTTTTGTCCTCGCATTTCGGAACTTTATAAACCTCTAAAATAAAAGAAAATTCTAAAATAAGGATTCTAATTCGAGAAATGTATTTTACATTTATTTATTAGTTTTGGTTACTAGTCGCTTAGTGTTTCCTTATTTATTTAGTTATTCTAATATACAACCTTTAAATAAAACTTCTAATTATTTGGTAAGTAATATTTTCATAATAATAATAATAATACTGAAAGTTTTATTCGTTATTACCTATTAAGGATATAACTAATTTAATTCTGTATTAAATGTTTCGCCGACAATTCGGCAGCATTTCCTCTATAAACTGTACTACCCAATTTTACATACTCCACATGTCAACACACAGCCCATCCATCAGGCAATTCAGCTTAAATGATCCCGTCCGCTATATCCATCATTCATTTGTTCATTCAATTCACATCTTCCTAACACTATTTAATAAAGTTCCTAAAATTGACTTTCATAATTATTAGTTAGGAATTCTTATTTCAATTTCTACCTTATAATTAACGTTCATGAACTATATTTACCAATATTCAACTTAATTCACTTAAATACTCGATTAATTCATTAATTTGGGATTTATTCAAAAATTGCAAATTAAGCTTTAGAGTGTACCGATTAGAAATCGAACTCCACTTCCGTGATCTACGCGAAGAGGAGGTCATTCTGCCTCATAAAGCCTCATCGGAGTCTTGCCTGCCGGTCACCGGGCCGTCACCGTCACCGCCGTGCACGGTGGCTGGAAAAGTCCAAACCACCTAGAAATTTGCAAGAATTCCACCACCCGACTCGAAATTTCATGAGAATTTCATTTCTAGTGTTAGTTTAGTAAGACTGGTCCTCTAGTTGGCTGAAACATGCTCGACAACCGCCCCTCACCGCCGTTCATGTTGGTTCCTCAAAACGTGACTGAAATCTTGATTTTCTTAGGGAGAACTACTCGCAGCGGCATGAAGAATCGATCTGAGCTCCCCTTGGTGGTTGGAGTTGCCGTATTCGAGGGAAATCGAAGGCAACTCGACTCCCACAGTGAACGGGGCCTTCTCGCCTCGATTCCTTTCTGAGGGGGCCACCATGGCTTGGCCTGAAGTCATTATCGTGCTTGCTTCATCGAATCGATCCCATTGATGTGTTTGCTTGCCAGTTTTAATGGCAGAATTCAAAGGATGAATGGGGAAAGGAGAGGAAGGCGCTGCGAAGAAGAAGAAGAAGAAGAAGAGAAGAAAAGAAAAAGAAAGAAAGGGAAGCGGGTTCTAGAGCCTTTTGATTCCGGTTCGATTCGAACTAGTTTGGCTCAAATCAGCAATTCGACTCGATTTTTATTTGGTTTACTGGTTTTTCACTTAGTTTTCGAAAAATCAAAACTGATTTACGGGTTCGGTTTAGTAAGAATAAATTATTTTTCTGTTGATTTCATTAGTTAGATTTTATGATTAAATTTTTAAATGAAATTTTTTTGAAAATAATTTTTCAGGTTGTTTCAGTGCCTTTGATAAAATTTAGTATATACTAAAATAACCTTAGTCATAGCCAATTAGAAAATTACATTTTATTAGTTGGTTGGACATATTTATAAAAATTATATTTAATAAAAATTATTTATATATATATATATATATATATATATATATATATATATATATATATATAATTAAGCATTTTCAAAATTTTAAGTTTTAATATTTTTAAAAAATTTATTTTAATAAATATATATGATGAAGTTTGACATTTGAAAAATTTATTTTTTTCACTCTTTTAAATATTTGATTATATTTTAAATTAAATTTAAAATATTTTTATTTCAGGGAGAAATAAAAAAATAAAAAATATATTCTTTTATTAATTTTTTCTTTATATTTGTACAATTTGATTAGAATATATTTTTAAAAATAAAATTTTCAAATAGAATATACATAGTAATTTTATTTAGGAAAAACAGATAAAAAAAAGGAAAAAAAAAATATTTAATATTATAATAGTTTTTTCTTTATTTTGTATGATTTGAATTAGGTATATTTTTTTTAAAAATAAATTTTCAAATTAATAATACACATAATTAAACCTTTCAAAATTTTTAAAATTTTTAACTGTTTAAAATTTAATTTAAAATAAAATGAACATTGTGTTATACGTGTGTATAGACGAAACATTTAAAATTTAATTTTAAAAAATATATTTATTGATATATTTATATATCTATATATTATTGAAAATTTTTTGTTAGGTGAAAAAAAAGTTTTATTCTTAATAATAATTTATTATTTATTTTCTTTAAAAAAATTTATTATTTATTATTTTCTTTTTCATTATTGAATAATTTATAACTATTATCATTTTAATTTGGTAAAAGATATACTCTTCCTTGCAATAAATAAATGGTCTTTTAATGGTTAAACATTTTTAATTTTTTTGATATTTTTCTCTTATATTTTAAATCTGTTTGACTTGAAAGAAAATAGTAGTTAGGACCAAGGACGGAGCAAGGACAATTATTTTGGAGAGCCATTTTTTAACTTCTAGGAGGGTCAAATGTAATTTTTCTATATTTTGACGAATTAAAATAAATAATTTTTATAGGAAACTTTTTTAAAAAAAAAATTTTTTTGGGGACCCTTAGGCCCCATGGGGACTTCGCCCTGTTTAGGACAATGGAAAAAAACTATATGCTTATGTGTTTGGTCACTTTTTGAGGTTTCAAGAGTTTATTTGTACGTGCATATATTTTTTTCTTTAATATACTGGATAAGTGAAACATTCCGTAATTTTATTTTTAAACCTTTTAAATTTTAATTAAATCAAAAATCCAGATTTTCGATCTCATGGCCTATAAGTATTGATAATTATATTCAGAGTCCAAAATCGCAAAGTTGGGCTCTAGCCCAAAAACATGTAATCGGAACTTTTAGTCGAGAACTTCCTAAAATTTTTAAGAATAAATATTGAACTTTAAATATTAAATCTATTTAAAAAATAAATAAATATAGTAAATAATAAATAAATAATACAACTACTATTTAAATTAATTATCCTAAACTCAAATATTATTATTACTATTATTATGATTATTATTATTGAGTAAATTGAAGAATATTTTAGAACCTAATTAAACCAATTAAAATAAATCAAACCAAACTGAAACCATTAGAAATCAACTAAACCAAACAAGGAACAAAAAATCAACATCAGATTGGACCGAACCAGTATATCAAACCAGACCTAGAAACTTCTAATCAGTAATAGATGAGAGAGAAAGTGCCAAAAACCTTTAGCAAATCCTCTCCTCGATTCCCCATCGCGCGACGCCTCTCCCCCTCCACGATCAACTTTTCGGCCAACGCTCGACGAGAGCAAGTGGCGATCAGGTCCCTTCTTGCAGTCGGTCACATTTCTGGCCTTCCTTAATGCCGAAGGGGCCTGCAGTGGAGCGAGTCAAGTTGTCTCCTTCGACAGCTTCTTCTTCTTCTTCTTCTTCATCTCAGTGCTTTCCAGCGATACCTATTAGCAAGGTGAGTCGAAAACACCTTCTTGTTATCTTTAGATAAATGATTAATGGACAAACTAAATGTGATTGAGCCATTTGAGATGATTCAAGTTTTAGGTTTTGACAATAGATAAATTTGAGATTTTAGTAAATAATCGCTATATTTTCTAGAAGTTGATCTCAGAATTAAACTTTACATGAAGTTTTCTTCGTTTTTACTATACTGTCGTTTGATCTCAGGCCTGCCGCCCGTCCGGCCAACGTGGCGACGACGGCGGAGGTTTCCGGTGACCAAAAAATTCAATAAATTCAGAATATGTATTTTAGCTCTAAGATTCCGAATATGCAACTAAAAATCGCATTTCTTCGTTTTTACTATACTGTCGTTTGATCTCAGGCCTGCCGCCCGTCCGGCCAACGTGGCGACGACGGCGGAGGTTTCCGGTGACCAAAAAATTCAATAAATTCAGAATATGTATTTTAGCTCTAAGATTCCGAATATGCAACTAAAAATCGCAAAGTGGCTTGTTTCATAGCTAAACTGTGAATTGACGCAAAAATCGGTAAATGGCTTCTAAGCCGTAAGTTCGCAAAAACTTAATTATATGGATGTTACGCAAACTTAGAAATAACTTTCCTGACTAAGACTGTTACAAACACTACTTAAACTAATTAAAATGATGTCTAAGAATCTAAACTTTGTTTGGGTGTTATATGAAAATCAACTAAATTTTGTTAGAAGACTTTTTAGCCAAAAAGTTGCCGAAATTGGTAAAACAATGGTTAATGTGACCATAGAAGGACCTAGTTAGTTAGTTAATTAGATAATCATTAGGCTAAAACTCGTTGATTGTGCATAAGGAATGTAAGATGAGAATCTTAGTCAGTTAACGGAACTCTAGATGCTTAATTCTGATAAGTTATGGCAGTTAAAATTTGTTATTATTAAAAGTGAGCTTTAACAACTTAAGTAATTCCAGTTAAAATTTGTTATTATTAAAAGTGAGCTTTAACAACTTAAGTAATTCAATTACAGTAAAGCTATTAAGGTGGTTAACTTATGACTTAAAGAAATAATTTTATATGAATATTTAATGTTTACTATCTGTTAGTAGAAATCGAAATATGTATATCATATATAGATGTTTATGTGAATATTGATGAATTGAGATCAAATATAGTTGTGATAATATCAAGCCGAGTATAGTGATTATTTATGATATAAAAATGTAAATTTAAAATGAAATATTATGGTAATAGTAGTGATGAGATATGTGGATATTTTTAAATATGATGCAATTACAGCGGATAGGATTATGATTTGAAATTGAATCGCTCGATGGATGGGCTATGCAAATTGAATGTTTGATATTATTTGATATTGTTTGAAATGAGTAGACAAGTCTATTCTAGGGGAGATGTTGTTAGATTTTCGGCAGAATAAACTTGAATAATTAAATTAGCTGATTTTTCTTTTCATTAATTAATGTTTACGGAAGATTGTTTAGTTAAATTATAATGAGGTTAGATTAGCATCTATAACATATATATAGATTGCAATAGGAAACTTATGATTAGGAAACCGAGATGAGAGAATTATGTCGGTCCAAAATATCTGGATTAAATGATTGGGGAAAAATAGACACAATATTATTAAAAAAAATTAGAATTTAGAAAGGACAATTAGAATTCATGAATGGTAAACTTATTTTGTTTCTTTAGAAATTCTTGTGGGTCCTGAGAATCAAATTCCAAATAATAGAGTATCGAAAAGGAACATAGCTTCTAACTAAACTCCATAACGATGAGTAGTGTAAGATAATTCACATCATCCACCTGCATTTGCATCCATGCATACGCGGTTAAATGCTAGACATGCATTACCTATTAAACTGTTATTTTGTGTTGCATTATTTGTTGCTATTAGAAATGGTTTGATTAGTTGTGATGTGCTTCATGTATGCTTTGCTTGTGTGCAATTGGAATGAAGTGGGTCATCGTGGGTTTGTGAGGGCGGTCTTCTATACTGTTGCCCATGTATGGGGAGATCGGCGCCCCCGTGTGCATCTGATGATATATGATATGAAAAACCATAAGGTGGCCTCCTGTTGGTATGGAAAAGAAAAGAGGGTGTAAAAAAAATGAGAGGGCTGGTCAAGTGAGGATTAGACCGGTCAGGGTGTAAAAAAAATGAGAGGGCTGGTTCAAGTGAGGATTAGAAACCTGGTCGAGCTATGTTGGGGGGATCGGTCTCTGGTGCCACACATTTGGGAGAGGGCGGCCATGTGGGAGGACGGTTCGTTCAGGGGGTTTCGATGATGCCACTGACCAATTTTCATTGATGTGATTATGTGAAGGTATTAATATTTGTGATTGTTTGTTGTTTTTGAGAGGGCGGGCCATGTGGGAGGACGGCTCGTCAGGGGTTTCGATGATGCCACTGACCAATTTTCATGTGATGTGATTATGTGAAGGTATTAATATTTGTGATTGTTGTTGTTTTGTCATTCGTGTGATTGACTGCATGACTACATGATCATATAATTAGTCGGATGACTAGATTGATTTATTTATGAATTTGTGTGATTGAGTGGGATGAGAGGGTCCATTCCTTGAGTTTAGGCGCTCATCCCTGCCTTAATATTTTTTTCAGTTTACAAGTTTTTCAGTATCTTGTGACTCTTTGCCACCTGACATCTAAAGGAAATGTTGAGAATGAAACCTTGATTAATTTTGTTTAGTGTATTAAAGGAAATTTTAAATTCTTAGATTGTTCCGCAATTACGATAGTTATGTATGATAAAGTTAAAAATTATAAACGTATTACTTATTGAGGCTTTTATTATGTAATATATTGATATGACTCTAGAGAAATTTGAAAATTGATTTGTTACTGAGTATGATGATACGGGCCAAACAAGCCCAAGACTTATGATATATGAATGTTGATGATATTGGGCTTGAGGCCATTTCTATTGAACAGGAAGTTTGTTTAGTATATTTTTAGGCTTACTACAGCCTTTGGTGGCTTTAAGCCTACCCAGGTCATAGTGCTGGTCCGGCCTAAGGTCATGGGTAGTGACAATAAGTAATATTGATACTGTAGCCAAAATGATTACTATTATCAATTCAGTTTGAGACCACTTCATTATGTAAAAATAAAATTAAATACATTAAAAGTAGTATTACAATTAGCTTGTACGACAAAGTGTTGTAACATCCTGGACCTGAAACACCTTAACTTGATCATGCATCTATCCATGAACATGATATGTGTGATATGAATGTATATGAATTAACCTATTCATTGAGTTTAGGCGCTCATCATTGCATTAATATTTTTTTTTTCAGGTTACAAATCTTCCAGTATCTGGTGACTCTTTGCCAACTGACATTTAGAGGAAATGTTGAGAATGAAACCTTGATTAATTTTGTTTAGTTGTATTGAAGGAAATTTTAAATTTTTAGATAGTTCCGCAATTACAATACTTATGTGTGATAAAGTTAGAAATTATAAACGTATTACTTATTGAAGCTTCTATTATGTAATATATTGATACGAGTTTAGAGAAATTTGGAAATTGATTTGTCACTGAGTATGATGATATGGGCCAAACGAGCCGAAGACTTATGATATTATGAATGTTGATGACATTGGGCTTGAGGCCATTTCTATTGAATAGGAAGTTTGTTTAGTATATTTTTAGGCTTACTACAGTCTTTGGTGGCTTTAAGCCTATCCAGGTCTTAGTGCTGGTCGTGACAGTAAGTAATACTAATACTGTAGCTAAAATGATTACTATTATCAATTCCATTTGAAACCATTTCATTATATAAAATAAAATTAAATACATTAGCTTGTATGACAAAGTGTTGTAACATCCTAGACCTAAAACACCTTTAACTTGATCATGCATCTATCTATGAACATGACATGTGTGATATGAATGTATATATACATGCATTTTGCAATTGCTTTATGATAAATATTAGGTCATGATATGCCTTAGCTGTGCATATGCACATGAAACACCTAGTATGAATATAAGTAAATGCGTGAATCTGATAAACTCTGAATTTGGGAAGCTTTGGCACTCTGTCTTTGATACAGAGATTGCATTTGTACTCTTTATAGTCTTCCAATATGACTATATAAGGTTTTCACGAGTGGGTTAACTTAAGTATACATATTTTGATTTTCATGGAGAATTATATTTATTTTGGTGATTATATTGATCAAGACTGCCTTAATATATTAGTAAAAGATTGTTATAAGTTATCTGAAGTGAAAAATGATTATAGAGATTAATTAGGAGATGGTTAAATGTGCTCAAGTCATAGTAATGAGAAGCTAGCACGTGAAACACTTCAATTAGTATCTCAATTAAGTACTTAATGATGTGATGTTAAATCATCTAAGATGTTTAATTAAGGCCTAAATGAGATTAATTAAGTGTTAACGAAGGGTTATGGACTTCTTAGCCTAAAAGAAAAGTTATGATTACAAGTGTGGGTAAAAGCATGAATAAGTGAGACTTTCAGGAGTTAAGAGGGAAATGGGTGGTCATGTGACTTGCATATGACTAATTGGTATATATAAACCATAAGGGAGAGATATTGATCAAGAACAAAGCAAATAGAGAGGAGAGTAAGAAGGGGCCGAAACCTAGGAGTGGAGAAGAAGAAGGAGAAAAGTTGAGTTCTCTTGAAATTAACACTTGAAATCTAAGAGTTCTTGTTAGAAATCATCATAGGTGAGTTAATCTTTATTTAATCTAAGTTATTTGCATGATTTGGAGAAGATATGGTTAGGGTTTCAAAGAGGAGATTTTGAAGAAAATATTGATTTTGATGGAATTCAGTGAAATAAACATGATTTTAAGTGTTAATTAGTTGGTATTGATTATATAAACTATGAATTGAACTTTAATTTGCTTCAATTGAGAAAATTCACATATTGTAATATCCTGAATTTTTATTTTCAAAACTTCTGAATTTTTATTAAATCAAAAATCAGAAATTTTGATCGCGTGGGCTGCAAGTATAAAACAGTCTCAATTTAAGCCCAAATTGCGAGTTGGGCCCAAGCCCAAAATATATTATTGAAATTTTCAATTTGAGAACATTTAAAACTTTCAAGAAAGGATATGGAACTCCAGCTATTAATATATTATAAATATATATATGTGTGTGCATATTATATAAATTAATTATCCTAAAACCGAATGTCATTACTATTAATATTATTATTATTATTGAATAAATATGAGGAAATGTTATGGAACCTAACTAGAATAATTAAAATAAATCAAACAAGACCCAAAAATAAATTGATTTTTGAAAAACTTAAGAAAAACCCGAAAACCAAGCGAATCGAGCCAAATTATTGAATTGGACCAAACCGATTCGAATCGAACTGGAATGGTCTAGAAGCTCCAGATTTTTCTTTCTGCATTGGACCCAACCCGATTCGAATCGAACTGGAATGGTCTACGAAGCTCCAGATTTTTCCTTTCTTTTCCTTTCTTTTCTTCTCCTTTTTCTCTAGCGTGCACGACTAAGCCTTCCTCCTCTCCCTCGTTTTCGGCCCACGTTCACGTTCAGCGAGAACGAGGTGGCGGTCGACTTGCCTGGCACTGCGGGTCGCGTTTCCAGCCTTCTCTCACTCGGAAAAGGGCCTCTGTTGACGCGATAGGGGCTGAGATTCTTCGACAGCTTCTTTCTCCTCATCTCCGGCGAACCACGCCATTGCCGGAAGGTTGCAGCGTGAAGCGAGGGTACCGATCACTTCCTCTCCTCAACGCGATCATTTCTCCTCCATCAATCACGGCAACGGAGCTCAGATGACGAAACAACCATAAATGAGATCGCCAAGCTCCTGTCAAGCCTGATCCGCCCAGTTAGAGGTTTCATCTCGCTCAACGGACATCGGAAATGTAACCAGTAGCGAAATTGGAGTCAGCTGGTGGTGTTCTTGTAAATTTCTGGGCAAGGCCCATTTTTCGGCCACCGTGCATGGAGGCGACGGCGGCGGTCCGGCAATCCGCCGGCGACACTCTGGCGAGGCCCCAAGAGGTAGAATCATCTTCTCCTCGCACGGATCGTCGACTTGGAGTCCGATTTTCAATCGGTACACTCTAAGACTCAATTCGCAAATTTTACATAAATTCCAAATTAATTAATTAATGAATTTAATTAAGTATTTAAGTATGAATTTAATTAAAGTATTTTAGTGAATTAAATTGGAATATTGTTAACATATACTTCATGAACATTAATTATAATATGGAGGTAAGAATTATTGAAATAAGAATTTCTAATTAAAATAAATTATAAACTTAGTTTTAAGGACTTTTAATAAATATTGTTTGGAAGAATTATAATTTATGGTATAATAGTAAGTTAGTTTATAGAAACAATTAATTATATCATGAGGATTTAGTTAATATTGAGAATGTGCCGATGAATGGGCTATGTGAATTGAATGAACAAAATGAATGAAATGGTTATGGCGGCCGGGATCAGTTATTGATTGCCCGATGATGGCCTTGTGCTGTTGACATGTATGAATATGGTAAATGGATAGTACAGTTTATAGAGAAATGCTGCGGAACTTTTCGGTAAAAACACTTAATAAAGAATTAAATTAGTTATATCCTTAATAGCGTTGTAATGAACAAAACTTTTAGTATTATTATTATCTATACAAATATTACTTACCGAATAACTAAAAGTTTTTATTAAAAAGTTATATGAGAATATATAATGAACATTATTATAATATATAGTTTAGTTTGATAAGTTAAATTAAGCGAACTAGTACCAAACTACTAAATGAACGTGAATACATTTCTCAGAATTATAACTCATTTAGAATTTTCTTTTTTATTTAAGATATTTATAAAGTTCCGAAATGTGAAGCGCAAAAGCTGAAAGCGTGTCAGTAGTAGAGATAGGTCTTTTAAAGGAACAATAAAGAACCGTGAGTAGTGTTAGATAATTCGCATCATCCGCCTGCATCTTTGCATCATGCGATTCACGGCTAAATGTTTATCATGCATTTGTAAATTGCTAATTGGGGTGCTGAACTTATTGTTGCGATTAAAAATTTGCTTGCTGTACAGCTGACTGGAGTCGATGTAGGTATGTATACGTTGTGGTGAGTTGAGGTAGTTGGCGCTTGGTTTGTAGTGTTGGCAATCAAGTTGGTGCTAATGAATACGTACGCGTACATCGAGGTTATGGGTTTGTGAGGGCCGGTCTACGAGAACTGTTTGGCCGTATGGGAGATCCGGCCGACCAGATGAGAAGTTGTGCTCATGGTCGCCAGTCTGTGAAAATGATGAATATTGGATAATATGGATAAACCACAGGGTTGGCTCCTGATGGTATGGAAAAAAAAGAGAGAATGGAAAACAATGAGAGGGTTTGGTCCAAGTGAGGATTAGACCGGTTGGCCATTTGTATGGGCGATCGTCTCCCTGGTGGGCACACATTAATTGAGAGGATTGGGCCATGTGGGAGGACGGTTCATTGGGGTTTCGGTTGATGCCGTGAACTGAGACTGGTGCTCACGTGTTTGCTCGACTATCTCGTTATGATTTTGCGTCGTAGATTTAGTATTAGAAGGTAGATAATGAGATTCGTGGTTGCTGTTGTAGCCATTTGTGTGACAAACTGCATGATCATAAAATTAATCGGTGACTAGATAAAAAATATTTTTAGCATCTGTATGATTGTGTGGGGTGAAAGGGTTTTCTAACCCTACTCATTGAGTTTGGCGCTCACCCCTACCTACCTATTTTTTTTCAGGTAATAGAAGAAAGAAAAATCCTATGGAGTTTAGACATTAATTATAGAAAACTGTTAATGATAGAAATGACGATGTAAATGTAAAGGTAGAGTTCTGCAATTGTATTCCAATTGGGTTGTAAGTGAATAATAAAAGTCCATATTAAATACATGAACTGTATTAGTGATACATAATTGAAATAACTTATTAGGCCTGCATCCACAGTTATGAAGAGATTGGTGAAATAAATTATTGGGCCTAAAGCCACATTTATGAATAGAATATGAGTTTAACTAATATAGGCTTACTACGGGCTTCGAGGGCCTTAAGCTCACCCAGGTCCTAGTGCCGGTCTGACCCACGGAGATGGGTCGTGGCACATATAAGATACAAGAGGGGAGATTCTGCCACTTGAGGATGATTATAAAGATGATGTTTTCAATATGAATTGATGAGTTTAATTAGTTAATTAAGTATTTTAATGATGCTATTAAGTGTTTGTTTGAAAAGAATGGTGTTTAAATTGAAGTTACCATATTTGTTACCATATTTATATGGTTATGGAAGTTTAAGGAGCTTAAGAAATATTCATTAAATCGTGTTGTGTTTGATGAAGTTTAATGATGCTAACTGATAAATAGTTAATTGAATTGATATTATAGGATTACTAAGTGATAATTGGAGAATACTTGGGATTTTCTGGGAGTTCAAAATATAAAGGGGAATGATAAATGTTAAGTATTTAAGTCATACGCACCAAGTGTTTGATTAAATGTCTAAATGAATATTGAGGTGCTTGTTTATTCATATAGGTAAGAGGATCATAGAAGGAGGCAAAGAAGGAGGCGTTTCTGAGCCTTGAAACTACAGTTCTGTGTACTGTGAGTAAAAGCTTATGATTGTTATTTATATGTGATAAATTTTTTATTTGATATATCAACTATAATATTATTCTATACTTGATATTATCATCTGAAAAGCATATGATTTATTCTAAAAACAGCAAGTTAAAGAAAAAAGGTACGTGTTATTCTGAGGCCAATGTGTCTAATCTGTGAATGCAATTTTATCATATTCTACATTTGAGATAAAAGGAGGTTATGACTGTCATTACCAACTCGTAAATCCGATCTGAATCTGGAGTTGCATGCTCATAAATCCGTTATCTGGAGTAAGCTCAAAATCTATATCTAGAGTTGCGTGCTCATAAATCTGAAGCATCATGCTCAAAATATCTTATCTAAAAGCTAGCCAGCTAAATTTGATATCTGAAATCTGTTATCTAATACCCTGAGGGCGAGTTTGGTTTGACAAGTCATAACATAAATAATCTGACAATCATCTGCATCATACTTTTGAAATGTATCTTTGTAGCTTCGTACCCGTGATGCCTTTAATGATTGTGATCTAAATCTCTGTCAATGGGAATGATGTGATACCTGCACACTATTGTTGTGAATGATTGGATGAATGACTGACTATTATTATCTGATAATGGTATATGTCCGGCATGATGGCTCGAGGAGTTTGAGATGTTTGGATTATTGGGAGTGCACTATGTGCTTTATTTGAGATGCTTGTGATATACTATGTTATTTCAAATAAGGGAGAAAAAAAAAAACACCTCCCTAAATTATAGTGCAATTTACACATACCTCCTTCTATGTTTTAGAACTAGCACACGCCTCCCTAAATTAACAGTCCGTTGCACAATTACCTCCCTCCGTCCAAAATCAGCCTACTTTTCTGTTAGTCTACCTCATAAATCAAGTTCAAAGGAAAGAGAAAAAATAAAAGACAATTCTACCCTTATAGAATTAGCTAATTGAACTGGTCCAAACCAAAACCATAAAAAAATTACTGAATCGAACTAGAACCCTTCTTGAATTAGCTAATTGAAACAAAACCACAAAAAAAACTTTCCTTCTCTCCTCAATAATGCGATCTGAGATCGCGAGCTTTGGTCCAGCGTCTCCTCTGCCACCCTCTTAGTTTCCGGTGAGCAACCAATTAAGCTTGGTCGGAGAGTAACGTTACCGGCGGAAATGATCTCTTCTCCATCCCGTTAGCTCACCTATTGGACCTATGGCTTGCTTTTCGTTTGATAAGAGAGGAGGACGGAGAGAGATGTCGGTCAAATGCTATTCCGGTCACCTTCCACCATCGCCAGCGACATCCTCCTTCTAGATATGTATAAATCAATACCTTGTCACCTTTACATAGAATTTCTTTAGCTCATTTGTGAATTATTGGGGTTTTCTTAATTATTGTTAAGTTAGGTTTGAAATAGGATATTTTTTTATCAATTGGATTAGAAATAGTTATTGTTTGATTAAATTGATAGCATAATTGAACTCCACTTTGAATTTGGATCACTTTGACTATAATTTTCATTGTTTAGAGGGTAGTAACAATTCCGACCACTATAGATGGTGGCTCTGCCGCTGGCTGGTGATGGCTCCGGTGATTTAAAAAATATCACAAGAGTTTCAGAATCTTGTGCTCGACTTGTGAGATACGAATATGCAATTATTTTTGTAATTGGATACCATTTGATGGTCAAAATAATAATCAGCTGCAAATTGGTAAATGGTTGGAGTAGTAACCTATCTTTGCCGATGGTGAACTCTCTGCCATGAGAAATAGAAAGCAAGAAATAGGGTTTCATTCTGAAAGGAGGGATGAAGGAGTAGAAGTAATTAATATATCAAGGATTAAAATGGTCATTTCATTTGTCATTTAACGGACATAAAGCTGATTTTGGACGAAGGGAGGTAGTTGTGTAACAGACTGTTAATTTAGGAAGGCGTGTGTTAGTTCTAAAACATAGAAGGAGGTATGTGTAAATTGCACTATAATTTAGAGAAGTGTTTTTTTTTTTTTCTTCCTTCAAATAATCATTTATGATGGTTTTTACTCACTAAGTGACATCTCATAAAATGTTAATATTTTTTCAGACTTTGGCCCTAGGAGGTATTAGCAGTCAAAATTCCATCTGTTCAGATTGACAGAAATGAAACTAAGATCGAAATCAGTTATGTCTACATATGTAACCTCCTTAGTTTTGTATACATGTATTTAAGTAGTTTGTTTTCCGTATGATCCACCACGTAAAAATATATGCTTAAGCTATGTTTTGTCATGTATATATTTATATATGATAGGTGTGAAAAGTAAAAAATTTTTTGATACTGTTTTCTATTGTGACGTATACCTCTGTCAATGGTTATATATGACATGTTATGTAGCATCTCAACACTATTTATCTTTGGAGATATGGTGTTAAGGTGTTACAGTGCAATAAAAATTAACCACTTGTATTCATTTTAATCTAAATAAAAATTTATGTTTTAATATTATACAAATAAAAAAAAATTAAAAGAGTATAAAAAATGAATATATAACGAGAATAATCAAGTACAATAGACATGATACCTAAATTAGTAAAAGAAAGGATTGAACTTTGGTAATTAAGTTAACAACAAATAATACTCTATTTGAATAATCAGATTAGTCATTTTTAAAATTGATAATTAAAAGTTAATATTTAAAATGCTTAATCACCAAAAAAAATCTTGAACTTTTGAGTTTTCTTTTAATTTGATCAATACTTTTAATTGTATCAATAATATACCGTACTTATTTTTCGTTGTCAATTCTGGAAACAATACATATTAATGTCATACATCCTTAATTGTGATTTGGAAATTGCAGTACAGGACAGGTGCTACACAACAATCTCTCTATAAATCTAGGTTTTACATGATCAAGGACACGACTGTATTTTTAATTATACAGAACCTGAAACTCGATACTAATTAGTGATCATAATACATGTATAGCTAATTACATTTTCCTTTAATCATCATTATTTTCTAATAATCTTGAGCATAGAAGTCAATAATCTCCTTGAGATTAAGCTGAAACAAAGAAGAAGAATCATTGTACAATAACCACAACATATGCTCGAACAAAATGGCATCGACGTCAACGAAGATCGCTTTCTTTTCTCTTCTCATCATCACCGTACACGTACGATCATCGTCTTTTTTCACCGTTTCTATCAGAAGTCGAAACGGGCTCTCTTCTAATACAAATGGATCAACCAAGAACTCTTTCTTCTCTTTCCCCACCACCACCGTCACCGGCGGTTCAAAATCTTCAGTTAACGCCCGGTAGCCTAAGCGAGAGCCTGTGTAGCGCTTTCTTAATATTGACACAGGCAAGACCAAGCAATCCATTTTTGTTTCTGAACTGACAATTAAGAGACTATGGAATATATATAGAGACTTGTAAATTTGAGAGAAAATGAAAATAATTATTATATTATTATTATCATAAGAAAAGATATGGAAATGAGAAAGGGTTGAAAAGTTCCAAGTTGGAAAGGCCAGCTAACGGCTAGAGAGAGAAAATGAATTTTGTAAGCAAAGAAATGGATTTTAGCGTTTGTTAAATGGGATTACAATGGAAAAACTAGCCGTTAAGAGTGAAAAAGAACCTGTTGGTGGTGGTAGGAAAATGAATATGACTGCCGACTTAATCAACATTTCCAAGTTCCAAGGATAAGTATATACCAATCTTGTCACTGACGCGTGAAACGAGTGGCATATCTTCGAAAGAAGCTTGAACACAATTTTAAATTATACGAAAAATAAATAAAGTCGTACACCGCCTCGATTCCAAAAAAAAAAAAAATCTCATTTTTATAATAATTGTTTAAATAAATTAATGCTTGCTTTATTTTTAATAAATTATAATTGATGATGGTAAAGTTTAAAAATAATAATTATTAATCCTTTATATATTTCTTTTAATGCGGATGTAAGTTATAGTTATCCAAAATTTGAAATGTATTATTGTGCATATTTTGAAATTTTGTTCCCAAATTTTACTTTGAGATATTATTATTATTATCAGCTGATTTTATTTATGGTATTTTTATTATTTGGACAATTATGCATAAAAAAGTGCAGATTTCCTCTCTAATAGAAGGAAGAAATTTAAAAGTGATCTTTTTAGATTGTAGAAAGACTATGAAATCGAATAGTGACCACGATTATCCATCAAGTAGAGCAAGCGATCGTCTATAATATATATGTAATGCTCTATCAACTCGATCAAATAATTTAAATCAAGATCAGTCTTTTTTTATTCTTTATATAAATGGTTTTTTATTAGATTTTTCTATGAAAAAAATATAAAGACTTATTAATTTGCATCACTTTCCTATTTACAATTTTCCTATTAACGAAATTTCTAATTTAATTTTTCTAAAAAAATAAAATAGGGATTATAGTATATTTATTTGGCTAGATGAAAAAAAAAATAATATCTTTATTTAACTGTTTTTGTAATTGTAACAAATTCTTTTACTTTCTCTTAAAAAAAAAAAGGCCTAGTATATTACAACATTTCGAATTTTATAAGTTTTTATAAATTTCACCTCATTTTGATTTTTTTGTCAATTTTACTCCAATTTCGACCTTTTGTAGCAATAGCACCCTTGATTTACAAATTAAAGATGCAATTGCAAATAAAAAATATTTTTATCATTTTTAAATCATCAAGTGAATTTAATTAAAACTTTAAAAATAAAATTTTTAAAAAGATTCTATTATTCTAAACAAATAATATTGCATATATCTATCTATATACATATATAATTTCTAAGGCATAAATGTTTATATGGCAACACATTAAAATATGAAATCGATGATGTGAAATTTTACTTTTTCTTTATAATTAATATCTTTTTTCATTTAATAAAAATTAAAAGTTTTTATTAAATAATGGAGTTACAAGCTAATAAATCTAATGGATGATTTCATTAAATTAATATTTTTTTACATTTAATAAATATTAAATTTTTATTAAATAGTTTTTTCTATAAAAGAAACTAATTGAGTTATAATAGAGTCATAGTTAAAAAAATTAATAAAATAATGTAGCTACGTTAACAAATAGAAGGCAAAATATTAATTTTAATTCACTAGAATTTATTTTATTAAAATTAATTATTCTTATATCTTATCTAATTTGAACATATGAGAATTTTAAAGAGAAAAAAATGATTAATTTTACTATATCACTTGAATTACAATAATTAATTATACTAATTAATATTTCAGTTTATTATTTGAAAATTTTAAAAAAATTATAATCTTATTTTCATTTTTTATTAAAATAATAAGCAAATTATTTAAATTAAAGCAACACAAATATAAATTACAATAATTTTCTTAAAAGTTACATTCAATTTAATTAAAAATAAAAAATAATACAATTTGTGCATCACCCAGCTACATTACTAGTTAAATTTTAATTTCTAAAATAAAATTTTTAATCAATAATTAATAACACAAATTTATGTTACTTATAAAAAAGTTCCTAGTATAGCATAACAATTAAATTAATAAATAAAATATTTACTTATATTTTTTATTTTGTATTTTCTATATTTTAAGAATAAAAATTCTTACTTGTATTAATTTTTCAAATCGTGAAATAAAAGAAAAATCTTGAAAAAAAATTATTATTATTTTCATCAAGCTATAACTTTGAAATATAAATGATTGATATTTGAAGTTCAGATGTATTAAGAAAACTTAAATAAAAAATATAATTTAATTATATTAGCTACAATACTAGTTAAATTTTAATTTCTAAAATAAAAATTTTTAATATCAAATATTAAAATAACACCAAGATATATGTTACTTTATTAAAAAAAGTTTCCTAGACTAGATATAGGAAATTATATAACAATTAATTATAAATAAATTATTTTACTTAATATTTTATAATTTAGAATATGTTTATACTAATATTTAAGAATAATAAAAAATTTCTTACTTTTGTAAATTAATTTAATTTCAGAGATCTTGAGAGATACAGAAGAAAAAATCTTGAAAAAAATTAACATTATTATAATTTCATCAAGCTATAACTTTAAAGGATAATATAAATGATTGCTATATTTTTTTGAAAGTTCAGATAGTAAATTAAGATTCGAAGCTTACAAAATAAAAATATAATAATAATTTAATATATTATACTTATACTATTTAATTTTACTCCTAATATATATCGTTCGGACAAAGATAATTAATGAGTATCTTCTTATTATTTTCTTACTTAATATATCTCATTGAATCCATAATAATATATCAATTAAACCACTTATCTAATAAGTGCATTAAATTTTTGACAAAAGAGTGAGATAATTAAATATTAAATAAAGAAACATTACCTTGCAATATTGAAATAAAGGAAATAGCACCGTGTCAGTCCACAAGTGTCAATTTAAACGAAAACAAAAGTCCTTCGCTCTCCCGGTGATTGGAACAATAATATAACATGAAAAATAAAATTAATATCTAAAGAAAAAAAAAAAAAGACCACAACCATTTTCTTTATTAAAATTAAATCGAAATGACTTGCCTGTAAATTATCCTTAATTTTTTATAGGATTATTTTATCTGTTTTAGGTAACACTGATAATACCGCGTTTGAACCGCTCAAATTAAAGTAGGTCAAATTCCACCAAAGAAGACGTAAATACCCTAAAAAAATAAAAGTTAACACTAATGCCACTTAAAATTCACCATTATATTAAATATATAATAGGTTTATTTAATGATTTTAGATATCTCTCAATTTAATAATTGATGCACCTCTACATACTTTTAATTTTTATTTTGCCCACCCATCCAATAACTCTACTATAGTCATATTGAGTTAACAAAATATATAAAAGTATTCATCTAAATGTAATATAATAATACCATCCTGTAATCCTCAATAAAATTCTAATACAAAACACTAACAGAAATATAGTAATATTCTCTAGTATAGAAAATGTGATGTAAAAATTTATTACTAAAAATTTCTATAAATTTAAGTGCATCAAAGAATTTAGTAAGATATTCTCCAGACTAAAGATGCAACAAAATTTTTTAGTAATAAACATTATAGAGTGGTGAAACAAATAATTCAGTGACTATGTGTTCACCTCATAAAATAACATAACAATAAATTACGAAAACTATAAAAAAAAAAAAAAAAAAAAAAAAAAAAAAAAAAACATTTTCTTTATTAATTGAACGATGATGCCGAGGTAACACTAATACCGCGTTCCGCTCAAATTAAAGTAGGTCAAATTCCACCAAACTATAAAATAAAGTAAAAATGCATAAATTCACCATATATTAAAAAATTTTATTATAATCTCAATTTTTATATTGATGCATTAAATATTTTAATTTATTATATTGCACCAATAATTTATTCAATAGTTAAAAAATATAAAAAGTATTCATCTAAATGTTATAATAATCATGTATTAATAAAATTCATAATAAAATTAATAAAAATATAAAATTGTTAGTTTAGAAAAGTGTGTAATATTAATAAAATTCATAATTTAAGTGCATAATATATTTCTCCTAGACTAAAGATGCAACAAAATTTTTATATAACATATAGAGGTGAATTCATACATTTTACATCAAAATAAATAAATAAATAAACTATAAAATAAATAAATACAAAAAACACTTAGGCTGCTAACTCCGTTTCATTAAAAGTAGTATAACTTTTATCGTTTTAAAAAGGTTAAATAATTAAAAAAAAAAAAAAAAAAAACCTAAACTTTGATGTGTTTGACATATTTAGCCATTACTTTTAATATATTAATTATTACCCTAGATTTACTTTTCCTTATAAATTACCACCTTCATTCATAACCCATTAATTTGTTCCTTACTCGGCCGTAGTTGGTAGGGGTGTGCAAACAGGGTTCGGTTTCGAACTAAACCGAACCACAAAAATTGAAAATCAAAAATAGATTTTCTTTGAAATTGAACCAAATTGAAATAAATTCAAATATCGAGCCAAAGTGGTCAATTCTATTTAGTAGGTACTAATTCAGATAAACAGTTTGATTTTACTCATAATATAAAAGTTTTGGAATAACCGATTCAAACACCGAAAATCAAAATTATGAAGGTTTCAAACCGAAACAAAAAATAAAAATCGAACAACCGAACCAAAAACTGAAAATAATTTTGTTTGATTTTTCCAAAGTTTGCTCACCCCTAGTAGTTGGCTACAACATGCCAGCTCATCACCATATGGTCGATCTTTGATTGTTCATCCTTACTTTTAGAATATCTAAATTACAAGATTGCATTGTTGAGACAATCTGCTTTCTATCACACTATAAGCTTGAAAGAATTTAGTATGGCTTTGCAACTAATGGACTCTTTATGGCCCATCAGTGAGCAATTCAAACCTTCATCAATTTCAAGATCCACCAAGTAGATTTTTTTATTCTGCATCACTCAACTGCATCCAATTAAATTTAGGACGGAAACCAGAGTTAATAATAAAAAAAATAAATACAGATATTTATTTATAAAATTAAAAGTATTGACCAAATTTTAAAAAAACCCAAAAGTTCAAACATTTTTTGTTATTATCAAGCATTTTGAAAAATCAACTAATTGTTAATTTTAA